TCTTGAGTATAATTGAAATTCCGATTCGGCTTGGGGAGGGATTCCAGAAATTTGGAAAAATCGGCAAAAATCGGCACCGATGCCGATTCGATGATCGGAGGGGAGGGGGGCCGATCTCGGGGGGTTCGGGGGCTGAGGCGATCGGCGGGGGCAAGATGGCCGTCACCCTTAAGGCCGGACGGCGAAGAGGCCGCACAGATGTTGGCCATGGTGAAACCAGCTGTCGTAGGCGGACCCTCGCAGGCGTAGACGATCCGAGACCCCTCCTTCCGGTCTAACTAGGGCTATGTCTGCCCGGATGCCCGTCTCAAAAAACGGACCAATCCGCGATGCGAGACGGCCACTGTCGTGCGTGAAACACGGGGGTTGGGGAGGGGGCTTTGTGCCTCCGCGGGGAGGCGCGCGGCGGTGTTGGCGCGTCGGTGAGTCCGCCGGGAAAGCGGCCGGGGGTTCATTCCTTGCGCGATCACCCTCGTCGGGAGCTCAGTTGCCGAGCGTCGCGACGACGACACGGTGCACTCCCATCAGGTTCCCAGGGGCCGCGAGCTGCAGGGCACGCCGCACGCACGCAGCCTCCGGATCGCGTCCCGAGGGTGTTGGGTCTGTCCTCGCGGTGGTCCAGGTCGAGCCAGGGGAGAGGAAGGGAAGTTCACCCGGAGACCCTCCGAGTGCCTGGGGTAGGAAGACGGAGGAGAAGAAGAAGTCGAAGAGGAGATGGACGGGGCCCGATGAAAGGATCCCGAGAGAGGAAGGAAGAGACATCGAGGATCGTCCTAGAAGGCTCCTCCAGGAGGTGTCGGGACTCGATGACTGGAAGAGCTCGCGACCCTCGACTCCACTGACGGGGACCTCGGAGGGCCCCATCGAACCCGATCGGCCCTTGGAAGCGGGGATCGGAGTCGAGAGGGCGAGGGATGTAAAGCGACACCCCGAGATCCTGGAGAGTCCTGGGAGAGTCGAGGAGGCCGTCGGCAGGCGTCGAGGCGCGCGACAGGGTCGGCTACCTTTCCGAGGAGAGATCTCGGGTGTCGAGCCTTCTCGAGGACGAGAGAACGAAGACGTCAATGAACCACCGTACCTGACCCACAACGAACCCCGAGTACCGCGAAGACTTAGTTTCTGTCGAGTCCTTTGTGGAGGAGTTCCCCGGTCTACCCCGAGGAGCGGGAAGAGCTTGGGGAAGTAATAACTAGGTAAAGAAGGCCGACGAGAGGAGCGTGGAGGGAACGTTAAAGAAGTTCGGAACGCGATCCGCCGTCGCTCGTCGAATCTCGGGAGCGCTCCTTGACTTCGCGTCGTCCTCGAAGAGGCTTCTTCGAGTCCCGGGGATCCTGGGATAGGCTCCGCGGAGTCCTCCGTCGATCGCTCACCACCCGTCGGCGCTCGCCCCGGCAGTAGAAGGTAATGGAGATCTATGAGAACACCTAGGGCCATCGGTGGGTCCTTCCGAAAGGATCGTCGCGATTAGTACCCTGACCTCGACCGGAGATAGTAGAAACGTCCTCCTAGGTTAAGATATAAGGAAAAGTGCCGGGATAAAGGGGGCCGGAAAACGGACGCGGCAGACCGTCGGACGGCGACGGACGGTCTCGCTCCTCACGGCCTACTCCTCGGGGTCGACTTCCTCTTCCTCGGGAACGATACCCGCGACCGAGGGCACTCTTCGACCCCAAACTCCCGATAAGAGATCCACCCTGATCGATATCTCCGAAGGAGAGGACCCGAACGCTGCATCGAGCATCCGTACAACGAAGGGAGGAAGAAGGAAGGAGTCGACCGGGACGAAGGTCCTGGGAGAAAAATCGGAATTTCGGAGAGTCCTGAAAAATCCGGGAAACTCATCGAGAGGGTGTCGGGGAGGATTGGAAAATTTTTCTCGGGACCTTGGAAGGGATCGGCAGACCGGGAGTCGCCGTCGGTCCCGCGGGAGATGGTCCTCTGAGGGTCAGGATTCGGCCAAAGGACAGCAAGATGCCGCAGCGGTCGCCGTTCGCGATCCAGGAGTTGCTGGGCCTCAACGGGCCCGGCAGCGGCAGCGCGTCCGACCGGGGCTCTCCCCATGGGTCGCCCTCGACCGGGGTGTCCCCCGTCTCCTACGCCCCTGCGGCGCCCCATCACAAGCTCTGGGACTACATGCCGACCCTGACCAACCACCTGGGCAACCTCGGCAACCTGGGCAACCTGGGGAACCTGACGGCCTCGCGGATGGCCTACCTGAACGCCCAAGCCGCCGTGGCCGCTGCGTTTCTGCCGCCTCCGCACCCCCACGCGGCCCACCACGTCGCGGCCCACCATCAGGTGCACCAACCTGGACCCGGACAACTTCCGGCGTCCCCTGGAGTCGGGGTTCATCCCGCCGCGCATGCGCAGCACGTACTTCCGGGCACCGCCGTGCCACCCAACCACCATCAGCGCAGCCCTGGCCAGCATCCCCAGCCGCATGGTAAATATCTTCTTGATCTTTCGTATTCTTATGGAACCTAGTACCCGTCCTGAGGATCCTTCCTGCGGGAGGGATCGACAGGATCCCTCCAATCGAGGAAAAAAAGGTTAATTACCCCTCCGCGTCCATCCGCGCTGGTCCGACCCCTTGTCCGGGTGATACCTTGTCTCGCTGTAATTCGCTCAACTTACTGACAAGGTATTCTCATATTTAACCAAGCTCTTACAAATACCGAAACGAAGCTTTCCAAACGTTTAAAACTAAAATAGGATAATCGTCCCACGAAGAAAAAAAAAAAGAAAAAAATTCGGAAATATCCGCACAGAGCTGATGAGTGCCTCTAATTGGCATGTCTAGGAGAGGTGCCAGTTTTCCAGGATTTTGAGTATATTCTTTGGATAGATAATCCAAGGATGTGCGCGATTGGGTCATGCATTTTAACGAAATGGAATGCATAGTACGGGTATACTGCGTTTCACGGGAAGGTGGAGGAAAAGAAGGTCGCGCTTATCCTGTCGCTACTCCAGGTCTAGGTGCAGAGACAATTTGCAAGGGACTGGATCTCCCGCAAAACCCGGCAAATAGAGACGTAAATCGTAATCCGTAGATTCGGTCAACCCTGGAGTGAAGCTCGACATTTCTGGATTCCCCTGTAATCTTCTAATAAGGGCTACAAGACGTCCTTACGGCGAATCCGCGAGCAGGGAAACGTTAAAATCCGGCAGGGCTCGCGCACTTTTTTCCCCGTCCTCCGTTTCTCCACCCAGCCGGGTATCGCTCTCTCTCTCGCACTCCCGGGACGCGGCATCGTGCCCTCTCTCTCGCTCCCACGGTCGCGCCGCGACGGGAGGCTGGCCCAAACTCTCTCTTCGCTCTGCTCTTTTCTTAATTCCGCAGAGTAGGTGGAAGTAATGCGCGCGAGTGTACGTACATACTTACGGGGGATGGAAAATGGACACCCCCCTCCCCCTAACCCCCCCAAGAGGGGGACGCGTCGAGGGAAACAGGACGCGATAGTGTCTGAGCGCGTCTCGGGGCGCTCGAGACATGACGAATCGAGATCGACCGTGGTCCAGGATCTCCGCGTGGATATTAATCCTTATCTCGAATCGAAGAGGAAGGGTTGCATCCCTGGCTCCTCCCAATCATTCTTAATTTCGTCGGCTATCGGTCGCTATCGATGTCTGACCAAGGGAACGGGGTGCAGAGAATACGGAACAGCATCCCCGGAAGATTTATCTCGAGATGATAAGGTCTCGGTTAATTTATTCTTATCGATTGAGAGAGGTGATATATATATATATATATCACCTCTCTCAATCGATAAGAATAAATTAACCGAGACCTTATCATCTCGAGATAAATCTTCCGGGGATGCTGTTCCGTATTCTCTGCACCCCGTTCCCTTGGTCAGACATCGATAGCGACCGATAGCCGACGAAATTAAGAATGATTGGGAGGAGCCAGGGATGCAACCCTTCCTCTTCGATTCGAGATAAGGATTAATATCCACGCGGAGATCCTGGACCACGGTCGATCTCGATTCGTCATGTCTCGAGCGCCCCGAGACGCGCTCAGACACTATCGCGTCCTGTTTCCCTCGACGCGTCCCCCTCTTGGGGGGGTTAGGGGGAGGGGGGTGTCCATTTTCCATCCCCCGTAAGTATGTACGTACACTCGCGCGCATTACTTCCACCTACTCTGCGGAATTAAGAAAAGAGCAGAGCGAAGAGAGAGTTTGGGCCAGCCTCCCGTCGCGGCGCGACCGTGGGAGCGAGAGAGAGGGCACGATGCCGCGTCCCGGGAGTGCGAGAGAGAGAGCGATACCCGGCTGGGTGGAGAAACGGAGGACGGGGAAAAAAGTGCGCGAGCCCTGCCGGATTTTAACGTTTCCCTGCTCGCGGATTCGCCGTAAGGACGTCTTGTAGCCCTTATTAGAAGATTACAGGGGAATCCAGAAATGTCGAGCTTCACTCCAGGGTTGACCGAATCTACGGATTACGATTTACGTCTCTATTTGCCGGGTTTTGCGGGAGATCCAGTCCCTTGCAAATTGTCTCTGCACCTAGACCTGGAGTAGCGACAGGATAAGCGCGACCTTCTTTTCCTCCACCTTCCCGTGAAACGCAGTATACCCGTACTATGCATTCCATTTCGTTAAAATGCATGACCCAATCGCGCACATCCTTGGATTATCTATCCAAAGAATATACTCAAAATCCTGGAAAACTGGCACCTCTCCTAGACATGCCAATTAGAGGCACTCATCAGCTCTGTGCGGATATTTCCGAATTTTTTTCTTTTTTTTTTTCTTCGTGGGACGATTATCCTATTTTAGTTTTAAACGTTTGGAAAGCTTCGTTTCGGTATTTGTAAGAGCTTGGTTAAATATGAGAATACCTTGTCAGTAAGTTGAGCGAATTACAGCGAGACAAGGTATCACCCGGACAAGGGGTCGGACCAGCGCGGATGGACGCGGAGGGGTAATTAACCTTTTTTTCCTCGATTGGAGGGATCCTGTCGATCCCTCCCGCAGGAAGGATCCTCAGGACGGGTACTAGGTTCCATAAGAATACGAAAGATCAAGAAGATATTTACCATGCGGCTGGGGATGCTGGCCAGGGCTGCGCTGATGGTGGTTGGGTGGCACGGCGGTGCCCGGAAGTACGTGCTGCGCATGCGCGGCGGGATGAACCCCGACTCCAGGGGACGCCGGAAGTTGTCCGGGTCCAGGTTGGTGCACCTGATGGTGGGCCGCGACGTGGTGGGCCGCGTGGGGGTGCGGAGGCGGCAGAAACGCAGCGGCCACGGCGGCTTGGGCGTTCAGGTAGGCCATCCGCGAGGCCGTCAGGTTCCCCAGGTTGCCCAGGTTGCCGAGGTTGCCCAGGTGGTTGGTCAGGGTCGGCATGTAGTCCCAGAGCTTGTGATGGGGCGCCGCAGGGGCGTAGGAGACGGGGGACACCCCGGTCGAGGGCGACCCATGGGGAGAGCCCCGGTCGGACGCGCTGCCGCTGCCGGGCCCGTTGAGGCCCAGCAACTCCTGGATCGCGAACGGCGACCGCTGCGGCATCTTGCTGTCCTTTGGCCGAATCCTGACCCTCAGAGGACCATCTCCCGCGGGACCGACGGCGACTCCCGGTCTGCCGATCCCTTCCAAGGTCCCGAGAAAAATTTTCCAATCCTCCCCGACACCCTCTCGATGAGTTTCCCGGATTTTTCAGGACTCTCCGAAATTCCGATTTTTCTCCCAGGACCTTCGTCCCGGTCGACTCCTTCCTTCTTCCTCCCTTCGTTGTACGGATGCTCGATGCAGCGTTCGGGTCCTCTCCTTCGGAGATATCGATCAGGGTGGATCTCTTATCGGGAGTTTGGGGTCGAAGAGTGCCCTCGGTCGCGGGTATCGTTCCCGAGGAAGAGGAAGTCGACCCCGAGGAGTAGGCCGTGAGGAGCGAGACCGTCCGTCGCCGTCCGACGGTCTGCCGCGTCCGTTTTCCGGCCCCCTTTATCCCGGCACTTTTCCTTATATCTTAACCTAGGAGGACGTTTCTACTATCTCCGGTCGAGGTCAGGGTACTAATCGCGACGATCCTTTCGGAAGGACCCACCGATGGCCCTAGGTGTTCTCATAGATCTCCATTACCTTCTACTGCCGGGGCGAGCGCCGACGGGTGGTGAGCGATCGACGGAGGACTCCGCGGAGCCTATCCCAGGATCCCCGGGACTCGAAGAAGCCTCTTCGAGGACGACGCGAAGTCAAGGAGCGCTCCCGAGATTCGACGAGCGACGGCGGATCGCGTTCCGAACTTCTTTAACGTTCCCTCCACGCTCCTCTCGTCGGCCTTCTTTACCTAGTTATTACTTCCCCAAGCTCTTCCCGCTCCTCGGGGTAGACCGGGGAACTCCTCCACAAAGGACTCGACAGAAACTAAGTCTTCGCGGTACTCGGGGTTCGTTGTGGGTCAGGTACGGTGGTTCATTGACGTCTTCGTTCTCTCGTCCTCGAGAAGGCTCGACACCCGAGATCTCTCCTCGGAAAGGTAGCCGACCCTGTCGCGCGCCTCGACGCCTGCCGACGGCCTCCTCGACTCTCCCAGGACTCTCCAGGATCTCGGGGTGTCGCTTTACATCCCTCGCCCTCTCGACTCCGATCCCCGCTTCCAAGGGCCGATCGGGTTCGATGGGGCCCTCCGAGGTCCCCGTCAGTGGAGTCGAGGGTCGCGAGCTCTTCCAGTCATCGAGTCCCGACACCTCCTGGAGGAGCCTTCTAGGACGATCCTCGATGTCTCTTCCTTCCTCTCTCGGGATCCTTTCATCGGGCCCCGTCCATCTCCTCTTCGACTTCTTCTTCTCCTCCGTCTTCCTACCCCAGGCACTCGGAGGGTCTCCGGGTGAACTTCCCTTCCTCTCCCCTGGCTCGACCTGGACCACCGCGAGGACAGACCCAACACCCTCGGGACGCGATCCGGAGGCTGCGTGCGTGCGGCGTGCCCTGCAGCTCGCGGCCCCTGGGAACCTGATGGGAGTGCACCGTGTCGTCGTCGCGACGCTCGGCAACTGAGCTCCCGACGAGGGTGATCGCGCAAGGAATGAACCCCCGGCCGCTTTCCCGGCGGACTCACCGACGCGCCAACACCGCCGCGCGCCTCCCCGCGGAGGCACAAAGCCCCCTCCCCAACCCCCGTGTTTCACGCACGACAGTGGCCGTCTCGCATCGCGGATTGGTCCGTTTTTTGAGACGGGCATCCGGGCAGACATAGCCCTAGTTAGACCGGAAGGAGGGGTCTCGGATCGTCTACGCCTGCGAGGGTCCGCCTACGACAGCTGGTTTCACCATGGCCAACATCTGTGCGGCCTCTTCGCCGTCCGGCCTTAAGGGTGACGGCCATCTTGCCCCCGCCGATCGCCTCAGCCCCCGAACCCCCCGAGATCGGCCCCCCTCCCCTCCGATCATCGAATCGGCATCGGTGCCGATTTTTGCCGATTTTTCCAAATTTCTGGAATCCCTCCCCAAGCCGAATCGGAATTTCAATTATACTCAAGACCCCCCTCGATTTCTCTGATTATTTTAATACCGATCTACGCATCCCGATTTCCTGGGGGAATTTTCCTTAAGGGGTGGTTTAGGGTTTTTCGAGGTTTTTCGGGATTTTTCTTTTTTTACTGAGGGAAGTGTGGGGCTTTTTTCAGCCGCGGGTTTGGTGGAGGTTCTTCGGGGGTTCTTCCCTCGGGAGAAGGAAGCCCGCGTGAAACCGGCTTTAGCTGGGGGCTTTATTAACGACGAGGGAGTGGCCAGGACCCCGGCCAGTCAGAACGCGCCACTTTCTACCCTCATTGGCCGGGGCGCAAATCGATTTACGAGTCTCTCCCGGCGCGCCGCCTCGCGAGTCTCGCCCTTACGCCGAGGGGGCGTACGGTCGATGGTCGCGCGTCGCGACGCCCTACACCGGCAATTCCCGGCGGCGCCGACCGGGTGGGGAGGACTCCCGACTCGGGCCGAGCCCGAAAATAGAGGTTTTCGAAAGGGAGACCGGTCGACGCAGAAATTGAGCCATTTTTCTAAGGGGGATTTTTTTCTCCAACTCCACCGGCTCCCTTTCCCGCGAACCTGGAGGCTTCGCACCTACGACCTCCCCACCTTTGTGACCAACCTTGCGACCTGCCGAATCTCTTTGCCCAAATGTCGTTTGTCAAAAAGCCAGGTTTTCGACGGAATTTTGGATAGCTGGGGCTCTCAGAGGAACGGGAAAGGAACTTCGGTGGAATTTACCCGGACACCGCGGGACGTAAGCGAGATGGGTACCGTGTCCCTATTAAAGGGTCTCAGTTTATGAAATCACGATTTGGAATTATAAAGGGAGACTCGAGATTAATTTTATTTAACTGATCCGAAGAAATCGACGTGCCACTCGGGGACCTCCACCCCTGGTCTGAGGATCGAGGAGAGAATAGTGCCTCCCAGTTTTGCGATTTATTCTTAAGGGCTCCTTTTCCTATTCGCGCGGTCTCCGGGAATTTTAAACGCGGAAAGGAGGGTCCTTAGAAGGTCCTGGATTAATTTTAGTCCCTAGTCTCTTTCTTTTTACTCTCCTGGAAATATTGAAAATTCGGAATTCTCTCTTTCCAAGTGTTATCTACCCCTCGTGCGACTCGGAATTTCGAGTTCTTGGGGAATTTCACTTTTCCTCGATCCAGAATCGATGTCTTTATGGAATCGATTCCTCCCTTTAATGACCCTCCACCCTGTTCACTCGTTTGCGATCATTCCTCGTTTTTCCTTTTTTTACTCTTATCTACTTTTCCCTCCTCTCCAGATCTCTAAAAATGCCCTCTTGTCGGGACGAGGATTTTCCATGGGACGTTCTCAAAAATCCTTCCCCTACCCCTCTGGCCCCCTCGACAATTGATTCGCGAGCACTCTAAACGCAATCGCAAATGTCGTTATCCCGGGATCTCCGCGGATCCCGAGGGCGCTCCGAGCGCCCTCGGGACGCGCTCCCTAATTTGCCGACCGGCGGGTCCCGCAGGAGTGCATCACGCGTCATCTTGTCCTGGTGCAAGGAAAGCGGTAAGAGCATCCCAGATCCCTTTATCCCTAACCCTACGGGGCCTCCCTTTGCTCGTCCCTTCGCGCAGATTTTCTCGTATCGCTGGTAAAAGCGGTCCTTGTCATTGTGCAACCTGCGAGTGCATCCTGCGAATCTGCATACGTGCATCGCTCCTCAGCCCTAGCCTCCTCCTACATCGAAATGCACTTTTCAATTTCACTTTTCAACGTTTCCAATTTTCCTATCAAACCTCACGGTGGATTTTGTCCGCGTGGATTTTTATACACTATTAACAACTGTAACAGATTCAAATTCCAAGATTAATTATCAGGCATAACTTGTTTATTTTGTACTCGCAGGTGTATTTAATGGATAAGCTTTGTAATTTCATGGTACAAGAGAGGTGGCTTGTTTAATGGGGTCTCCGAAAAAAATGGGTAATTAGTTTACGTCCTCGGGCAAAATTTGCAATTATGGACAGAATTTCGGTATCGAAAATGACGGAAATTTATGAATATTCTCATAAGGTGGATCGTGTTAAGAGGAATTACCTGTGGTTAAGGAGCCATGAACTATTAATTCTTCGCCTTTTTGAGCTGGGAAATTATTCCTACCGATTTGGAAGGAGATCCCAGGAAAATGGGAAATTATTTTCTCGTCTCGGGAAACGGGCCAGCCCGTTAAGTCACTGTTAACTGTTTACCAAAAATTGGGAAAGCTCTCTCGTCAATTCCTCAATTTCGTATTTCATGTTTGCAGCTCCTCTCGATTCTATTTTTCTTTTTTGCGACGGCTTTACGTCACTTCTTAAAACAATACAGTGACGAAGTTGACGGGAAAATACGTCACTAAAAGTAACTCCAATAAATTCACGAATCGTAGAGGAATTTTATTTAGACACCTTGTACTAAATATTGCAATACTCGTGGATACATTTAATATCCGTGATTTTTAATTTGACAAGACTTGAAGGGTGTCCGATAAATTGTCACAAAATTCGGAACTTCTCCATACGTTTGTAAAACGGGCACGTTAATCCGAATCGTCGTATCGAAGTTGTCATTTTAATTTATTGCACTCTTATATCGCATGACATTTATATTCATTTTTAACAGTGTATGTTCGTTCTAAGTAAAAGGACGAATTTCCTGCGTCCGTGATTAACCGGAGCTGGGAAATATCACGCTCTGATAACTCCTCTAAATGCTCAAAATTAACGGTTCCACTCCGAAATTATTCGAAGCGAGTCCATTAACAAATTGGCCGGCATTCTTTAGTAACATCCAAAACCTGAAGAATTACCTACAAGAACATAGCCGGACTTTCACGCCTCGGAACTGTTAATTTTACCGCTCCTTCCTCCTAATTAGACAAATTTTCAATTCAGATCTCCAATTTTGGGCACGCGAAACGCGATCACGGAGTTCTACGAAATCCCAAGATCTCGATCTCGAAAACGACGCTAATTGCATATTAGATTTCTAATTACATGTCGAGCAGTCCTGCATAGCGAACTCGTTAGTGG